TAGCTAGGATTAGCATAGGGAGTGTTGGATAAGATTAGGCTAGAGGTAGGTTAGGCATCCGACGGCCACTTAGACAGATAGAGGCCCGGTTGCAGTGACAGCCCAGTTTAGGGATAGGGACTAAGAGTGAGGATAGATAGAGCATTTTATCCTTTTAGGTCTCAGCGGTTCTCAACCTGGGGGTCGCGACCCCTTTGGGGGTTTCGAACGACACTTTCCCAGGGGTCGCCTAAGACCATCGTAAAACATATATTTCCGATGGCCTTAGGAACCGAGACACCGCTCCTCTATCCGTCTCTAGGTGTGGGCGGGATGACATGCCGTCCCTGTCATCTGGGCACACCCCAGGATCAATCCTTTGCCGGTGATTGGCCGCCGGAACTGTAGCTCAGGAGAGGCACACAGGCGGCCTATCACCGGCGAGGAGGTGGAGCTTGGAGAGGAGGAGCCGAGCGGCACCGCGAAGATCGAGCGAGTGAAGAGGAGGAGAGCGGCCGGAGAAGGAAGACATCTGACCGGTAAGTGTCTGTACCATGGGAGAGGGAGGGAGCGAGCGAGCCCAGGCTGGAGCAGGGGTCAGCAAGGTAAGTATCATTGGTGTCAGTGGGAGGAATAGTGCCCCATCATTGGTGTCACTAATACCAATGATGGGGCACTATTCCTCCCCCCACTGACACCAACGATGGGGCACTATTCCTCCCCCCACTGACACCAACAATGGGGCACTATTCCTCCCCCCACTGACACCAACGATGGGGCACTATTCCTCCCCCCACTGACACCAGTGTTGGGGCACTATTCCTCCCACTGACACCAGTGTTGGGGCACTATTGCCCCACTGATACCAGTGATGGGGAACTATTCCTCCCACTGATACCAGTGATGGGACACTATTCCTCCCACTGACACCTGTGATGGGGCACTATTCCTCCCACTGACACCAATGATGGGGCACTATTCCCCCCACTGACACCAATGATGGGGCACTATGGGATACCAATGATGGGGAACTATTCCCCCCACTGACACCAATGACTGACACCAATGATGGGGCACTATTCCTCCCACTGACACCAATGATGATGGGGCACTATTCCTCCCACTGACACCAATGATGGGGCACTATTCCTCCCACTGACACCAATGATGGGGCACTATTCCTCCCACTGACACCAATGATGGGGCACTATTCCCCCACTGACACCAATGATGGGGCACTATTCCCCCCACTGACACCAATGATGGGGCACTATTCCTCCCACTGACACCAATGATGGGGCACTATTCCCCCACTGACACCAATGATGGGGCACTATTCCTCCCACTGACACCAATGGGGCACTGGGGCACCAATGATTATTCCCCCCACTGACACCAATGATGGGGCACTATTCCCCCCACTGACACCAGTGATGGGGCACTATTCCTCCCACTGACACCAGTGATGGGGCACTATTCCTCCCACTGACACCGATGATGCGGCACTATTCCTCCCACTGACACCGATGATGGGGCACTATTCCTCCCATTGACACCAATGATGGGGCACTATTCCTCCCACTGATATCGATGATGGGGCACTATTCCTCCCAGTGATACCGATGATGGGACACTATTCCTCCCACTGACACCGATGATGGGGCACTATTCCTCCCATTGACATCAGTGATGGGACACTACTCCTCTCACTGACACCAATGATGGGGCACTACTCCTCCCACTGCAAAATTACAGTTATGAAGTAGCAACGAAAATAATTTTATGGTTGGGGGTCACCACAACATGAGGAACTGTATTAAGGGGTCGCGGCATTAGAAAGGTTGAGAACCACTGTTTTAGGTGATGCATCGCTGATCTTCAGACAAGCAGTGCAATCATCCGCATGTTACTTGGACGCCATCGCAGCATCTAAAGTGGAAGTGTGCATCTTATGGACTCTCACCTCTCCAGGGGCCCCTGCAACCGGACTGCGCTATAACCCATGGTTGGAGGTATTCTGTATACTACATGCACATATACCCGGGTATAATTGCAACCTCCCAATTTATGGTAAATTGTAATTCCTGAATGTTATTCTTATGCATCCTGTTTTATGTGGCTGCTTTATATAAACTTTGCATTAATCTCATACAGGTGTGGTGACATGTTTCCATGTTAGAAATATAAGCTGGGGGCATTAATACTGCTATGTATAGTTACTGTAAGTTGTCTGCCTGTTACATTCCTAGAAAGGGGTGAGTCTCCTCAATTGCAGGATCCCTATTCTAGGTGGAGGCACTGCCATTTGTGTTATCACAACCCCCTCTTCCATATAGCGAAGGCTCAGGATTGCCTACTCATATACAGGTTAACGCCATAGCTTGTTTGGTGTGGGCCATTTCACATAACCCCCCCCAAAACAGGGCTACACCTCCTTTAATACAAGAGAGGATTTTGCTCGCTTTAGAAACCGCAGCTTGGCATTGCATGCCATTATTAAGCTGGTGATCTACCACCATTGACCCCCCAGCTGTACCCCCCCCCTAGTATGTATGATACATGAATATTCTTAGCCCCCAAGTGCAGAACCTTACATTTATCAACATTAAACCTCATTTACCACATAGTCCCCCAATTACACAGAGCATTGAGGTCGGCTTGTAAATTGGAGACATCCTGTAAGGACGTTATTCCCCGGCACAGCTTGGTGTCATCTGCAAAGACTGAAATGGGATTTATAATCCCAGACCCTATATTGTCTATAAATATATATAAAAAGTAAGGGTCCCAACACTGAACCTTGGGGTACACCACTGACACCCCGAGACCATGCAGAGTATGAATCATTAACCACTACTCTCTGAATACGGTCTTTTAGCCAGTTTTCTATCCATTTACATTCAGATTTTTCCGAGCCCATAGACTTTACCTTACACATTAGCCGTGTGTGGGGAACTGTTCCAAACGCTTTTGCGAAATCCCAAGTATACCATGTCCACCGCCACCCCTCTGTCCAAGTATACCACGTCCACACCGCCACCCCTCTGTCCAAGTATACCACGTCCACCGCCAACCCTCTGTCCAAGTATACCACGTCCACCACCAACCCTCTGTCCAAGTATACCACGTCCACTGCCACCCGTCTGTCCAAGTATACCACATCCACCGCCACCCCTCTGTCCAAGTATACTATGTCCACCGCCACCCCTCTGTCCAAGTATACCACGTCCACCGCCAACCCTCTGTCCAAGTATACCACGTCCACCGCCACCCCTCTGTCCAAGTATACCACGTCCACCGCCACCCTCTCTGTCCAAGTATACCACATCCACCGCCAACCCTCTGTCCAAGTATACCAGGTCCACTGCCACCCCTCTGTCCAAGTATATCATGTCCACAACCACCACTCTGTGCAAGTATATCATGTCCACCGCCACCCCTCTGTCCAAGTATACCACGTCCACCGCCACCCCTCTGTCCAAGTATACCACGTCCACCGCCACCCCTCTGTCCAAGTATACCACGTCCACCACCACCCCCCTCTGTCCAAGTATACCAGGACCACTGCCACACCACTCTCCAAGTATACCACGTCCACTGCCACCCCTCTGTCCAAGTATACCACATCCACCGCCACCCCTCTGTCCAAGGTTTTGCTCACCTCCTCATAAAAAGAAATCAGATTTGTGTGACAACTTCTGTCTTTCATGAATCCATGCTGTCCGTTGCTTAAAATATTTTTTCCAGCAAGAACTCATCTATGTGGTCTTTTATTAATCTCTCCAATATCTTCCCAACTATAGAAGTTACACTAACAGGTCTGTAATTACTTGGTAAAGATTTTGACCCCTTTTTAAATATTGGCACCACATTGGCCTTACGCCAATCCAGTGGTACTATGCCAGTCATGAAAGAGTCCCTAAAAATGAGAACCAATGGCTTTGAAATGACAGAGCTCAATTCTTTAAGGCCCCCGTGGGTGTATGCCATCCGGTCCAGGTGCTTTATTCACCTTTATTCTGTCTAAACATTTCTGAATCATATCAATTGTGAGCCAATGTGGATCATCTGGAGCTGTGTCATTACCACCCCCCATTATGGACAAGAGCTCCTCCATGCTCCTTTGTATACACAGAGGTGAAGAAGGGATTTATTAAATTGCCTTGTCTTTGTCCCCAGTCACCCACTCTAGATTATTTTGTAATCCATTTGAAGAATCTTTTGGTGTTTGTCCTGCTATCTTTTGGTGGGACAATAGAATGTAAGCTCCTCTGGTGCAGAGACTGATGTGAATGACTCTGAGTTCTCTGTAGAACACAGCAGAATATGTCAGTGCTATATACAGTAAATGTGTAATATTAGTGTGACTGTGGTGGAGACATTAGAGTGTAAGCTCATGTGGTGCAGAGACTGTTGTGACTGGCTCTGTACAATTTATCACAACCTCATTTACTTAAACTCCCTAATTATTACTAATCCTGGGCTTTGCATGAGGGATACCGCCCCGGACTGTAAGTTGTAACCCAAGTAAGCATGTACAGATCATGCAGGTGCTTGGACAAGGTGGTCATCCTATTATTACTTTATAAGCCCTGATTGAAGGGGGAGTGTTCAGAAGGTCTCTCGAGAGGAGTACTGACACAGGGTACGGTGATGTTTTCAGAAAGCTATGTTCTGCCTGCATTGCAGAGAGATGCACAGAGACCCAGTGATGATATCACTGGTTATAAAATAAGGTATGTACTGAAAACAGATTTTGGTTAAGAATTCCGTCTTCATGTGACTTCCACATATAGAAATATCCAGTTTCTAAAAATAGTTTGTTCTCAGCAAGAAATGGAGACCGTATCTGAATGTTTCTGATGTATGTTATAAAGCTGTTCCGGCCAGATTGATTTTTATCTTATGTTTTGCTTTTTTTTTTGTTTTTGTGTCTCACTATTTCAGAAAGAAAAAAAAATGAACCAGAAAAGCCAACGAGCCAGAACATCCGCATTATTACCCCGGAATTTCAGTATGCGATGAATTACCAGAAGCTCGGCAAGTGCATCATCATAAATAACAAGAACTTCGATGTCAGGACAGGTGATGGATGATGTTTCCTTCGAAAACGGTCTCCATGAAATATGTTCTATGACAAAGGTGTTCTTCCCCACATAGTTACACTATCATTAGCACTCGCCCATTCACATTCTCTTGACTTTCTTCGGATGATCTTGATTGGCACACATATCATTTTTGTAAACAAGATACATACCCCTTGGCTTTACCACTAGCCTACCGGGCACTTCTACCCCCTTCCTGCCCAGGCCAATTTCCAGCTTTCAGTGCTGTTGCACTTTGAATGACAATTGCGCGGTCATGCAACACTGTACCCATATGAAATGTTTATCATCTTTTTGTGACAGATAGAGCTTTATTTTGGTGGTATTTAATCACCTCTGGGTTTTTTATTTTCTCTTAAACAAACCAAAAACCACTGAAAATTTTGAAAAAAAAAAGTTTTTTCTTAGTTTTTGTTATAAAATTTTGTCAATAAGTGATTTTTCTCCTTCACTGATGTGCACTAATAAGGCTGAAGTTATGGGCACTGATAGGCTGCACTGATGGACACTGATGAGGAGGCACTGAAAGGCAGCACTGATACATGGCACTGATATATGGCACTGACTGGCAGCACTGTTAGGTGGAACTGACTGGCAGCACTGTTAGGCGACACTGACTGGCAGCACTGTTAGGCGACACTGACTGGCACTGATAGGCGGCACTGACTGGCACTGATAGGTGGCACTGATTGGCATTGATAGGTGGCAATGACTGGCACTGATGGGTGACACTAAAAGGCAGCTCAGATGGGCACTGATGTGGCATTGATGTGCACTGGTAGGCACTGATATGTGGTACTGATGGGCACTGGCACGAGGCACTGATGAGCACTGACACAAGGCACTGATGGACACTGACAGATGGCGCTGCTGGGGCTACACTGATCATCAGGGCTGATGATCAGTGTACATGTCCCCCCCCGTAGAAAGCCGATTACCAGCTCTCCTCTCCTCTGTCAGCGTGACAGCTTGAGAGGAGAGAGATGCCGATAACCAGCATTTCCTTGTTTACATGTGATCAGCTGTGATTGGACACAGCTGATCACATGACCGAGCCGACATCTTCGGCTCCTTCCGTGATCGGTGATCCGCTGTGCGATTGCCGCGCTGTGCGCTCCCTGAGCCGCGCATGCACGGTGAGAATGGGAGGATGTCATATGAACGAGAGAACCACCTTGCGTCCGTCATATTACTATATGGCAGGCGGGACGTGGTTAATATAAGGCTACTATAGATCCCGATTCGCAATCCCCTCCTACGTAGATTTACCTGGTTTCGTGTCACGCTTAATCCCCCACTGACCTTCCAATGAATTCAGGGTATACTGCACCTCGATCAGTTAGAGATCCATGCCCTCCCGAGAGCCCTATATCCAAAACCATGAATAGGAATAGCCTTTCCTCTATTTTATTTTGGATGTGATCCTTTGCAGTTTCCATTCTCCCTTCTTACTATAGATTGATTGTGTTTTTCGGACAAATTGTATCATCTAAAATACTGTGCCTTTCTACCTGCCTTGATCATTGCGATCCATTTGATATCCCCTCTATGTTGTATTTTTGATTCTTCCCCAAACTACATCACCGACCTAATATCCAAATACCACCCAACATGCACTCTCCGCTCTTCACAAGACCTCCTTCTCTCTAGTTTCCTGATCTCCTCCTCCCATGCCCGCCTCCAGGACTTCTCCAGGGCATCACCCATCCTCTAGAACTCCCTACCCCAATCCATCAGTCTATCACCCACTCTCCTCTCCTTTAGGCGCACCCTAAAAACCCAACTCTTCAGAGAAGTCTACCCCTCCCTCTACTAACTGCCAATTTCCTCCACTCTTCCTACCACTCCACCCCCCCACAGCTTTTCCTCCCGTACCACTATCCCCTCCCTCCTAGATTGTAAGCTCCAAGGAGCAGGGCCCTCGAACCCCTTGTGTATCGCACTGTAATTGTTATTGTACTGTCTCATGTATTGTCCCCCATTGTAATGTACAGCTCTAAGCGAACTGTTGCCGCTATATAAATACTGTATAATAATAATAATAGTCCGCAGTACAGTGCAGTTGGGCGGTCTGGAAGCAGTTAGAAGCTGCCCCCTTGAGCCCATGTTCACATATGTGCGGTGTGGTATATCGCATGTGATTCGCACAGGAACCGCACCGCATTGAAGCCATACATTTTGTATGGCTCTAATCGCACCACACCAAAAAGGTGCAGGACCCTTTTTTTAGTCCGCACTAGAATAGGATCACATGGGTATTCACACCTATGCGACCCGATTCTGCACATCGCAACACGTTTTGTGGACCGATTTTTGGGGTGTAGTTAACATACACACTCACAGAGGTTGGCATGAATGGGGTGCGATTCTGATGCGATGCAGAATTCACACTGAAAACGCTGAGAATTCCGCACCGCATCAGTGTGAACCAGGGCTGAGGGACACTGAGTTGTTTTCCGGTACCCTGTCTCCCTGAGCCTGCTTTGGAAGCCCAACCCCTGCTGACACCACATGAAACCTTTGGCCAGGAAAACCCTCTAACGTCTTACCATAAAATAGACTCACACACACGTTTGAGTGAACTGACACTTTGATTATTTTTTATTTTATTCAAATTGTTAACACAGTAAAATTTTGCACAATAAGATGACCAGAAGGTATGTGAAAGAGAATGACAATTAACCGCTTCCGCACCGCCCTATAGCAGAAATACTGCTACAGGGTGGCATAGGTGTGCAAAATCACATGTGAACATGCAATTCCAGGTAGGGGGCGCACCGCCATTCGCGGCCTCGGCTGTCAATCACTGGGTCCCGGCTGGTGATTACTGGCTGGCACCCGGTGATCGCCAAGTATCTCCGATGGGGGAGAGACCTGTGTATAAACAACACATATCTCTCCCCTGTCAGCTTCTACACACCGCTTTGTATGGCTCTGCATAGCAGACCAATACAAAGCAGTGTGCGTACAGTGAAACACACACACAGCCCCGTAGTAAAACGCACAGTTAACCCTTTGATCGCCCCAGGTGTTAACCCCTTCCTGCTCAGTGTCAGTACAGTGTCAGTGTTTATTAGCACTGATCACTGTATTGGTGTCACTGGAGATGTCAGTGACACCAAGTCAGTTCTCCCCAGCGTCAGAATGCCCACCGCAATCCCACTATAAGTCGCTGATCGCTGCCAATACTAGTATAAAAAAAAAATGAAAAAGCCCAGTATCTATACCGCCATTTGTAAACACTATAACTTTCACATAAAGCAATTAATTCACACGTGTTGGGATTTTTTTTTTTAGCAAAGACATGGAGCAGAATATATTTTGGCCTACATTTCACAAAATTTGATTTTTTAAATTTTTTTACTGGACATGTTTTATCGCAGAAAGTCAAAAACATTGTTTTTTGTTCTCGAAATTGTCGGGGTTTTTTTGTTTATAGCGCAAAAAATAAAAACGGCACATACAATCAAATGCCACAGAAAGAAAGCTCTATTTGTGGGGAAAAAAAGCACGTAAATGTCGTTTGGGTTCAGCATTGCATGACCACGCAATTGTCCGTTAAAATAAAACAGCAAAAAACAGCCTGATCAGGAAGGGGGGTAAATCCTCTGGAGGGCAAGCGGTTAACACTCATAATAAACTCAAACAGAAGTTTGCAATGTAGCACACTCAATTCAGTTCTTTTATATGTCCTGCAATTCAGACACTACACTCGGCCCTGAGACATTTTCTCCTAAGTTATCAGAATGAGCAGCAATCAAACTGATGGTCTAGTTCATTTTGGGCCCTCAGGTACCCGTGGCTAGGTTAAATTTTGAAAGAAGAAGAGCTCAGTAAAAGGATGGATCAATGTCCTCTTAAACCTCAATGGTCAATCTTCTGTGCGCTCGATTGGGCCCTGGTTAGTGCACATAAAGATTTGAATCTCTCTTCATGCAAGGGTAGGAGTTCTCCAAGGAAGGTGAACAGAAATTAAAAGAATATATCGAACAGCCATGCAGCGCTAACTAGGTATATTTATACATGCAAATAATCATACGGTGCACGTGATAACCGGTAAAGTGAACACCACTTAATACTAAGATAGATGGAAATTAGCTAAAAAAGTCCAGTCCAGGAATAATAATAATAATGGTGAATAAAATCTGCAACAAGAGTGTTCTTGCGGTGCATAATATATAGAATTTCAGGACAAAAAGGTGACATCATAAGTGACTTCTGTGACCATATTGCTCCTGCAGAAATGAGTGTAGATTGCACTAACCAGAAAGCGCAATGATAATGCGCATTTGAGTGTTTAACCAACTCCTGGTCATCCGGCTATTGAAAACTGGAACTGGATCACAGAGTAGTCATCTGGCCTGCATCCGCTGGGCAAACATCACAACCTCAGGAACACCAGATATCAGAAGGCATGTAGTCGTCTCGCCACCGGGGGGGAGTCTAACCAACCATGGTGTGGCCACCAGATCATCCCAATAAGCCTTAGAGAAGGTGGGGGGGCTCAGAAATAGCGAGCCAAGACAACAGAAGGTACTGATAGTGTAGTAGTTTATTATCCACAACAATACAAATAGACAAGTAGCTGAAAAATCCTACTCACATGTGTAGTGAGCAGCTGGTAACAGGGAATTCCACAAATGGCCGCCGGCCGTCCACAAGGGCCATGCGGTGTGACGTCACAGGGTGTAAGGCATGGTAAAAGGCACCGCTAACGCATTTCGTGCGATGGCACGTTATCAAAGGGCTTTGATAACGTGCCATCGCACGAAACGCGTTAGGGAGGTGCCTTATACCCTGCCTTACACCCTGTGACGTCATCGCGCTGTCGGCCATCTTTGGAAGTAATTTTTTTGAATGCTATATTATTCCTAAGCCTGTAAGTAGGATTTTATTTGTGCAAACAAAGGTATATCAAACATATTGCATATTTTATTTTTTATGACACTGTTTTGATATCGCAATGGGGATAACTTATTGATGCCTGCGGATTCTGTCTCCTGATTTGAGAGATCTTGGGTCCTGGCATGGAAGTCTGGATGATATTTTATCTACAGAAAGCTGGTAATGACCCCCTATAGTTAAGGGGTCTTTACATCTGGTAAGCCTCCATTTACTCACATGGTGGTGGTCTGCACACGTTATTGATCAATTGGATGATAAAGAATTTATATTAACAACACCACATTTATGAAACGGGAGATTAGTTTCACAAATTGACTGTGGAGCCCATTATTCATATGCACTATTGTCTTCTTTTTGGACTATATATGTCACTGTTCATTTATTTATTTAGAATCATTTGATCACTTATGTTTATGATTGTTTTCACATTTCATATGTGTGTATAATTGTATTGTATTTGCTATACATAGCGCAACATTTATAATTTTTTAAGGTTTGAAAAAATGCTATATAGTAAGAATGCTCTCATAATTGTTTATTTTTATCAGTTTACAAGATGCAAAGTGAGCAAACCAATGAAAAATCTAAATTAAATCAATATTTAGTGTGACTATCCTTTAGCCTCAAACCAGCATCAATTCAATTCATCCAAATCTTTTGAACAAGCACAAAGAAACAAGCAACGTTGAGGACCGTAGATGCAATGGCTGGCCAAGGGCACTTAATGCAGCCGATGGAAGACACAATCATGCTCAATTTCCTTCGATATTGAAAGATGTCCAGCACTGCAATCAGCACAGAACTGGTGCTAGTGGGACCCAGGTACAACCAGGGATGGATCATCCATGAGTTCAAGGTGTTCACTGCACACGGGGCCCAAGGGGCCTACTGTGCGCTGACCCACACTGCACCCATGGTTGGTATCTCCTGCAGCAGGTGAAATTTGGCAGTTGTGGGTGGTCGGTGTGGTTGGGGGGGACAATCACAAGCTGAAAGCCACTTCTTCCCCTCTCTCTCCCTCAGGATTTGAGTTGCTTCACTGAAAGCCATATAGGGAGATTGCTGCTCGTTGCTGCCACACTGATCACCCCCAACTGTCCATCAGATTTAACTTCTGGGTCCCCCTGTGTGCTCCTCCGGCCCTCCTGTGAGCTCCCTGTGCCCCCCTCCCCCACAGCACTGAATAAAAAATTAAGGTGTGGACCCTGGTGTGGCTGCTCTTTCCCTGCGGAAGCTCCTCCATGGCTCTTCTATGCCACACTACACTGGACTCCTCGCTGCAGATCAGGGCTCATTCTGCGGAGGTGGCCATCAACTCGTCAACGGATAGCTGGCCCAGCATTGAGAAGAAACATTCTCCTGACAATTTCAGCTCCTTCAGCATGGTGCAGAACATATTGGAGAGCCGCGGTCAGTCCATGTGCCGCTCTCAAATCTCCTCCACTAACAGGACTCGAACTTCATGGTGAGTGATGGAAGTGTTCAGAGGAATGCTGTGTGCAGAGAGTGGAGAGCACAGCACCTGGCGAGGGAAGGGAATAGGGGGCACACACTGCATGAGAATCGAGTCCGGTCACCCCTCTGGCAGGTGTCACCTGGGTACCATTAGTAAAAAAAATAATAAAAAAGTGAAATAATAAAAATAAAAAAAAACACTGACACTATCCACTGCTCTACTGACACCGTCCACTGCCCTACTGACACTGTCTATTGCCCTCCCCCAAAAATCATTGTGGAAAAAAACCCCCACAAAAATAAATTGTAAAAAATAAAATAAGAAAAAAAATTCTGACACTGTCCATTGCTCCACTGACACCATCCATTGCCTTACTGACACCATCTACTGGCACCCAAAAACCATTTTGAAAAAATAAAAACTAATTAAATTAAATTGTTAAAAAATAATAACATTTATATGTTAAAAATAAAAAAACCACTGATCCACTGCCCTACTGACACCAACCTGCACATACTACCCACCGCCATACACTCTGCACTCCTCTCCCTGCACATTCCCACCCACCTCCATACACTCTGAACTCCTCTCTCTGCACATTCCCACCTACCTCCATACACTTCGCACACCTCTCCCTGCACATTCCCACCCACCTCCATACACTCTGAACTCCTCTCTCTGCACATACCTTCGTACACCTCTCCCTGCACATTCCCACCCACCTCCATACACTCTGAACTCCTCTCTCTGCACATTCCCACCTACCTCCATACACTCTGAACTCCTCTCTCTGCACATACCACCCACCACCATACACTTCGCACACCTCTCCCTGCACATTCCCACCCACCTCCATACACTCTGAACTCCTCTCTCTGCACATACCACCCAACTCCATACACTTCGCACACCTCTCCCTGCACATTCCCACCTACCTCCATACACTCTGAACTCCTCTCTCTGCACATACCACCCACCACCATACACTTCGCACACCTCTCCCTGCACATTCCCACCCACCTCCATACACTCTGAACTCCTCTCTCTGCACATACCACCCAACTCCATACACTTCGCACTCCTCTCCCTGCACATTCCCACCCACCTCCATACACTCTGAACTCCTCTCTCTGCACATACCACCCACCACCATACACTTCGCACTCCTCTCTGCACCCACCATTGTACACTCCACACTGAACATTGAGATATTTTGGCTGTAGCAGAAGGCAGTTTGTTCCCCGAAGGGCTGGAGAGCGGTACAATAATGGGTGTATGCAGGCAATAGTGAACCATGGTGAAGATTTCTTGTAAGTTTGGAGTTGGAGATTTGGTCAGGATCAGTGGTGTCTTCAATGCTGAGAAACACAAGCAGATACTTATCCATCATACCATACCATCAGAAAGGTGTGTGATTGACCTCAAATTTATTTTGCAGCAGGACAAGGACCCCAAACATGCAGCCAATGTCATTAAAAATTATCTTCAGCATGAAGAAAACCAAAGGAGTCCTGTAATTGATGGTTTGCTACCCCCCCCCCCCCCCCCCCCCCCCCGATCCCTGATCTCAACATCAAGGTGTCTCTCTGGGATTACATGAAGACCAAAGGATTTGAGACAGCCTACATCCACAGAAGATGATCTATGGTTAGTTTTCCAAAATGTTTGGAACGACCTACCAGCTGAGTTCCCTCAAAAACTGTGTGCAAGTCTACCTAGAAGAAATGAAGCAAAGTGTGATCACACCAAATTTTGATTTGATTTGGTTTTCTCTTCTGTTCATTTACTTTCCCATTTTGGTAATTATTAGGAATAAATTAACATTTCTATTTTTGAAAACTTAATTTACAGCATTTTTTCACACCTGCCTAAGGCCTCATGTACACATGAACTCACCAAGTCGTTAAACTCTCCTAGCAGCAGAAGAACGCTAAATGCAGCAAAAATGAGTGTAAACACGCTACCGCGTTTACCTGCGTTTAGCACTTGGACGTTTATTCATTTGATTGGCCAGAGTATTTTCCATTGACATGGACAAACACCCAAGTGCTAAACGCGGCTAGCCACGTTTACATGCGTTTTTGCCACGTTTAGCGGGTTTTGGCAAAAATGTTCCTCTCCTGAACGCTGTTATTCTACATTCAGAAGAGGAACGTTTAACTGCCCCTAAACTCTGCTGCCCCTAAACTCTGGTAAAAGCCTGTGTGTACATGGACACCTAGGCTTTTGTTTAGTTGAGTTCAGGGACTTTGGCAAAACCTGCTAAAAGCTCCTAAACTCATGTTTAGGAGCAGCAGTGTGCATGAGGGCTAAGATTTTGCACAGTTCTGTGTTCTGTGTGTGTGTGTGTGTGTGTGTGTGTGTGTGTATATATATGTATGTATATATATATATATATATATATATATATATATATATATTATTGCGTGTGTGTATAATAAATATATATATAATTTTTTTTTTTTTCATATAATGTATGTTATATCTGCATCTGCATTATTGTTCTCATTGCTCCATCAGGGATGTGTGTTCGAAATGGAACAGACAAGGACGCCGGGGATCTCTGCAAATGTTTCCGAACTTTGGGATTTGACGTGAAGGTTTATAATGATCAAAGCTGTGAGGAGATGGAACGGTTGCTGCAGGGTGGTAAGTACAGGCATCTTTATATTACATAGTGTTGGTTTTGTTTTACGGTAACCCTAGTATGGAGGATTTTTATGCAGAAAAAACTTCACCCATAAATTTAAATCAGTAATTTCCTGAACTTGGAATTGGGATTGGTAGTTTTCAATTCAGGACCTGGAGATGTAAGACTTATATTTCAGCATTAGCTTTGAGGATTTGTTAGCAGGAGGTTGCTTGTTAGTTTTCAGTGGTTATATTGAATTTCAGGGTTTAGGGAAGGGAGAGTTGGATCCCAACTCCAGCAACTTTTTTTTTTTTTGGGGGGGGGGGGGGATAGAATAGGGAAGGGGTTTAATGATGATTAGACAAGAAGCACTGGAAAGTATACCACACTGGTCTGGAATTATTTATTTTTATTATTTATTTCAGGTACTTATATAGCACCATCAATTTACACAGCGCTTTACATATATATTGTACATTTACATCGGTCCCTAACCCTGAAGGGGTGTACAATCTAAGGTCCCTAACTCACATTCATACATACACATACTAGGGCCAATTTAAACAGGAGTCAATTAACCTACCAGCATGTCTTTGAAGTGTGGAAGGAAACTGGAGTACCCGGAGGAAACCCCCACGAACACAAGGAGAACATGCAAACTCCATGCAGGAGGTGCCATGGTTGGGAATCGAACCCATGACCCAATTACTGTGCAAGGCAAAAGTGCTAACCACTAAGTCACTGTGTCACAGTATTTTTCTTAAATTGGGGATAAATAAGGTTTTTCTTGCTGGTGGATCCTTTAATTATTTGGCCAAAACCCAATGCATTTAGAGACATGCAACATCAATTTTATGGAGGCTTTAAATAAAGTCATTCTGAGAGGTTTAGCCACACTATGGTCACCATGGTCTTCAGACTAACCTAAAGCCTGCAAATTTTAATATTTATACTATTGATGAAGGCGATTTTGTATGCTGAAATAGACTGGAGCAGGGGCGGACTGACCATTTGGAAACTCGGGCACTGCCCGAGGGCCCGGGGTCAATAGGGGGCCCCATGAGATGCCCCTGGTACCTTTTTCATAGGCTTTTTTGAGTTTGGGCAAGGACACAGGGGCCCCATGATCCCCTATTGCCCGGGGGCCCCATGAGTTGTCAGTCCGCCCCTGCACTGGAGTTTGGTCAGAATGACCAAATAAAACATCTGGTGAAAAGATAGCCTCCATTAGGCTTTTATCACTGTCTTGTGTTTGGGGAGATTTTTCTCTTTATTTCCTGTAACAGCTACAGGAAGTCAAAGCCACTGAAAGTGTTGAGAAAGTTCTCCAATGGGGATAGAGAAAGCAACAATAACTATTTTATTTTAGCAGAATGGGGAATGATTAGAAGGTCTATTAGGGTGGTATTACTGTCTACTATTGAACTAAGCCCTAATTGTAAATCATCATCTTTGGCAAATAACAAATCTATACTGGACGAGGGTGTGTTTCCCTACGCACCATCTGGCCAATTGATGAATCTAAAATATATAACCTTTATTCAAATAAATAAAAAAATGTATGCTCAGCTGTAATTAATGTCTATTGGAGTGGAATGTACTGCGCACAGTGTAACTGGATACCATTGCAATTATTTACCTTAAAATAATAATAATAAATCGGTGTCGCGCTCCCAAATAAAAATTAAATAAAGATTAAAATTGAGAAATTAATATAAATTAACAAAAATTAATATTAATTAATAAAAATTATACTGTGTATCACATATATCACTCTATAGAAATATCAATGTGCTAATTCTTCTTAGTGAAAACAAAAGATCATCATATCAATATATCCAAGTCCAAATTTTAAAAAATTAATATAAATCTGAATATAAAAGTAAAAAGTAAAAAAATGTGCACAAAGTCCTCTTCCAATTAGTTCAGCATCAACAGGTGCCACTCCCAAAATCCACGTGCATGACTTTGTGCACATTTTTATTACTTTTTATTTTTATATTTATTTTTATATTCAGATTTATATTAATTAATTTAAAATTTGGACTTGGATATATTGATATTCACTAAGAATAATTAGCACATTGATATTTCTAGAGTGACATATGTGATACACAGTATAATTTTTATTAATTTATATTAATTTCTCAATTTTAATCTTTATTTAATTTTTATTTGGGAGTGCGACACTGATTTATTATTATTATTTTTAGTTACATAGCACTATTTGATGAGTTAGTGTGAGTGTCAGCGAACCACAGGTGGGTTTATTTATTTAATAAATTGATGAACTGAATCACGATCTACCATAGTAGCTCACAGGTAAGCACAGTTTTATTTTTAATTATTTACCTTATACCCAAATGGTTAATAACACCAGACCAAATCAAATACCATACCATTTTAGATGAAGTGTGACAGCATACAAAGAGGCACTGTAGTTTGATCATAAGCCTATCAGCTTCAATATATAATCTCTGTTAAGGAAATGGAGTTACCCCATTAGAAGATACAATCTATCTTGCTACAGATATGTAATACGGGTACACTCATCCACGGGCTTAAATGTCAGCCTCCCATGGATAATCCCCATATCCACCAAAAATACCTCACTGTCTTGAGGAATACAAATGATGCACTGTAAAACGCAGTACAGACCTCTCCAAAAAAAAAAGGGGACAGAGGAGTAAATACCATGTGCATTCAAAAAGTGCTCCCAAAGAAAGACCCAAAAGAAGACAGGAGTCCATATTCACTGACAGAGGGACTGTCCAGATAATGCTTAAGCATATGAAAGGCTGCATAGGTGTCCCGAAGGCACACTGGGTTCACGGTGCACATTGGGTTCACGGTGCACATTGGGAATACTGGAGTCATAAGATAAGTGCTCTGGGAGCACACTTGGAGTATCTAGATTTACTGGGTGCACTGGATTCACTAGATGACAAATGGACTGGAAGAACACTAGGAGTCACTAGGCACATTAGGGTCACTAGGTGACAAGTGGACTGGGAGCACACCTAAAGCCACTGGGTATACCAGGAGTATTGGAGTCTTTAGATGGACATGGACTGGTAGGACACTTGGAGTCACTGGGAGCACTAGAGTCAGATGACACATGGACTGGGAGCATACTAGAGTAACTAGATGGCACATATGGCTTCATGTCTGCTCTGATAGTTATTACTGTTACATCATTCTCCAACATGCTCACTTTCTGCCCCAATCAACATGCGTAACCAGCCCTGGCTATTAGAAAGCAGGTTATTGGCCACACATGCCCAGTGTACTCTCCATGGAAACCATAGGTAGCCAGTGTAAGGTGGCAGATAATGCACATAGGGCAGTGAGCGCAATCTACATGTGTTAGCAGGGCGAGAGGGGGCCGAAACTCACATCCTGACCCTTGGTGCTGGGTGAACCCATCCCAGAAGATAGCATTTTTAATGTGATTTAGTTATACATGGAAAGCAGACTTTATATATTAACTGTGTGTGCAAATGCTTTAAATTTAGAAATCTCTACTCAAACCCTAAAGCCAACAAATTATGGAACACCAAATTTGTAAAAGTCCCAAGAAAAATGACCTTCAGGCAAATGTTAAAATAACCTAATAAGGGAATATTTAGGGAATATTATTATTATACAGTATTTATAAAGCACCAATGGTTCGCTCAGCGCTGTACATTACAAAGGGGGACAGAACATGTGACAGAACAATACCAATACAATGCAAAACATGAGGGGATTAAGGGCCCTGCTCTTTCGAGCTTACAATCTAGGAGGGAGGGGATGGTGGCACAGGAGGAGATAGCTGTGGGGGATGGAGTGGTAGGAAGAGTGGAGGAGGTCGGCAGGTTAGCAGGGGGTGGGGTAGGCTTCCCTGAAGAGATGGGTTTTCAGGGTGCGCCTAAAGGAGAGTAGGTGATAATCTGATGGGTTGGGGCAGGGAGTTCCAGAGGATGGGTGACACCCTGGAGAAGTCCTGGAAGCGGGCATTTGAGGAGGAGACCAGGGAACTAGAGAGAAGAAGGTCTTGTGAGGAGCGGAGTGTGCGTGTTGGGCGGTACTTGGATATTAGGTCAGTGATGTAGTTCGGGGCAGTATGGTGGACAGCTTTGTACGTCAGTGTTAGGATTTTGAATTTAATCCGTTGCGCAATCGGAAGCCAGTGGAGGGATTGGCAGAGGGGGGTGGCGGAGATGGAGTGGTTGGAAAGGTGAATGAGTCTGGCAGCCGTATTCAGGATCGACTGAAGCGGGGATAGCCAGCGGCGAGGCAGGCCAGTGAGGAGGGAGTTGCAGTAGTCGAGTCATGATATGATGAGGGAGTGGATGAGCTGTTTAGTGGTTTCTGGGGTTAGGAACGTGCGGATTTTGGCGATGTTGCGGAGGTGGAGTCTGCATTAGTTTGTTAAAGATTGGACTTGGGGCTGGAAGGATAGGTTGGAGTCCAGAATGACACCAAGTACTCTGGCCTGCAGGGCGGGTTTGATGGTGGCGTTGTTGGATGTGACGGAGAAGTCAATGGGGGGTGGTGTCCGGGCTGGGGGGAAGACAAGAAACTCGGTTTTGGAGAGGTTCAGTTTAAGGAAGTGGAGCGACATCCAGTCTGATATGTCGCTCAGTAGGTGTGTGATTTGGGCGGAGACCGAGGGGGTGAGGTGGGGGGTTGAGAGATAGATTTGTGTGTCGTCTGCATAGAGGTGATAGTTGAAGCCGTGAGACTGTATGAGTTGGCCAAGGGAGGAGGTGTAGATGGAGAAGAGAAGAAGCCCGAGGACAGAGCCTTGAGGGACCCCAACAGAGAGGGGGAGTGAGGGGGAGGTGGTAGCATTATAGGTAACGCTGAAAGAGCGTTGTGACAAGTAGGATGAGAGCCAGGAGAGAGCAGAATCTCATAGGCCGAGGGAATATGTTGTAGTCCCCCTTCAAAATACATGGTGACAACGGTAAGGTCCAACAACTATGTAAGAAATAACAGACATAGTCTTTCCTTCCTGTTAGTGGCGAAGAATGACCACAGTGACAGCGCTTGTTTCGCCTGCATCCTCCTGAGCCACGGTGAAGAAGGTCAGATCTACGGCACAGATGGAGCAATGGCCATAAAAACTCTAACAACGCTTTTCCGAGGCGATAAATGTCAAAGTCTGGTCGGGAAGCCAAAACTTTTCTTCATCCAGGTAAGACTTGCACTGAGCTGATCTATATATAGTATTGGTTCAATGGTACTGATTTATTAAATAATAAAAAGTAAGAAGCCTTTTAACTTGAGTGATGGAGAAATGAGCTTATCAGTCTGCTGCTTTTTCTTCATTGTCCAGTCAGAAGCTGCTGGTGGGGAGGAGATCTGTAGGTGAAAGTAAAATTGCCACAGAGAAAGATCAGGTCTCCTCCACTACCAGCGAAGGTTGTGCTGTGTAAATCCTAGGCTGTACAGACAGAAATACAGATCCTTTGGTGGGTAAAGCAGCTTTCATATAAGTATTTCATCTGTGAATTTAGTTTTTTGCCTGGAGTTTAGTTTTAAAATAAATGTTAAGCCACATTTATTTTTTTTCAATAAACCTCTGTCATGTTTTTGAGGGGTTTTTTTTTTTCTGTTTGGGTCCCACTAGAGATTTCCATTTTCCTTTTGCCCAAGAGACACAACAGGAAGTGAGAGTAAAGCTTTTTAAAGTGAGAACAGTTGGAACTGGTGTCCCCATTGGAGGATTTCACCTCTATTGCCTTCTCCATCCAAAACCAAAAATGTGGGTTTTGGTTATACTTTATTATCCTACAGTAGTCTTTCACTTTATTTTATCATTCTACAATTGGCTTTCACATTTGTTGAAACTTTCCCCGGGACACTGGTTGGGAATAGGAAGGTTTTTTTTGGACTTGGCATTGCTTTTGTTTGTGTTACCAGCACGGGACTTCCCGGTCTATTGACATTTTCTCCTGCCAAAATTCTATGACTTCCAAGACGTGTTACACATTGTCTCCCGGCAAAAGTGAAATGTCAATAATCAAACGCCCATATTGCAGGCTTGCCGAGGCTCAGAGTTTGACGAAGGGATTCAGACGGATTCCGGGCCAGCTAACGACTCCCTGGAGACAGACGCCAATCCCAGATACAAGATCCCAGTTGAGGCAGACTTCCTTTTTGCCTACTCCACCGTACCAGGTAGACTCATCCAGTATGACAAAGGAAAAAATAACATACTTGTATATACACACACCTATGATAATTAATCAGTTCTTTTCTGCTCAATGCATTTGGCTGGAGGGTTCAGGAGAAATCACAACAGTCACAACATTCCATCATGGTGGAATGGGCCCCATGTGCCATCACCTAGGGGTCCAGGATCTAGTTGTAGTTCTGAAAGCTGTGGGATCCATCTGAAAAATATGGTGAAGGGGGGACCAAGCGTGAAAAGCTTTTCTTACAAAGGGCAGCCGCTTTGCTCAGGATCTACAAGATAATAGCGATCACCTTAGTTGTGAAGATTACTACAGAGATTGCCAGCTTCTACAGTGGTTCATCAGGTATGATATATTCATACCTACATTGTGTCAACCTTGACCAAAGCAACTATGCAAATAAGATTGTACCTGAAGCTGTAGCCTCCCTAGCGGTCTGATTATGTCCATATCTCTGTGCTCAAAGCGGTACATTTTTTTTCATGGAAATATGTATTTTTTTTTATTGTAGACCTGTAATTTTTAGGAATAACTCACTGAAATCTGTCCGAACAAGAGTCTAGTAAACATCCCGGGTAGGATAAAATTTTAAAACACGAAATCATAAATTATAATTTTAATAAATAATCATAAAAAATAAATATAATAATAATACATTTAATTCAATAATATAATCAAACCAAAAACACTGAAATTTGAAATATAGCGCCAAGTTCGCACATCACTGAGCAAAGTCGCAAAATTGTTTTCAGTGTCTGATGACGTATTTCCCCCACGAATCATTATCACTCAAATCTGCAAGTGGTTCTGATTTACTATCGCTGTTCTCTAGCCGGTCTAAAACCGCTTTTGACCTAAAGGGACGCTTTTTGGATGCCATGGACATTTCTCAGTTTCCATGCAGAAAGAACAGTAAAAATGCAGGCAGGGCGCAGGACAAAGCACTCGGGACAAAATGTATGTGAAATGGATTGATAAAGGAATGTTTTATGCTATGTGCTTTTAGTGAATTTAGTGAATGTCACTTTTACAACTTGCAAATTTCATGCCAGTTCCGTCCCCCGTACGTCCCGACGTCGCAGGGAACGAAACCCAGATGACAGATGCCGGCATCCGTCGGAGGACATTACAGGGGACACTGCAGGAGGGACATCGCGGGAGCGCAGGACAAGGTAAGTGATTGAGGGAACCTGGAGCAGCGCTGCATGGTATTCCTGAGTGTAGCTTGGGGTTACCGCTTTTGGTACTGAAACTTTACCCCGAGCTACACTCGGGAATACCGCCAGGGAGGTTAAAAGTTTCATTCCACCCAAACAAACATTGTTGGTCTACCGTATGTCTTGAAATGGCACATATTGTAATTAGCTCTTGTGTTTCTCTCCACAGGCTACTATTCTTGGAGGAATCCAGGAAGGGGCTCTGGTTCGTACAGGCCCTCTGCAGTGTGCTTAACCAGTATGGGAAGCAGCTGGAAATTATGCAGATCCTGACTCGGGTCAACTACCTGGTAGCCACCAACTTCGAGTCATGGTCGGATGACCCGCGCTTTAGTGAGAAGAAACAGATTCCCTGTGTGGTCTCTATGTTAACCAAGGAACTGTATTTCTAGACATTTTACACTGTGGACCCTTCACGGTCCGACATTATCAGGGAGCATCGAGGCAAGCTGATCTCTTTTTAAAGTAGGACAATAGGATTTATTAAACAAGGCAATGCAAATAACACTGATGATATGCTAGGTGTAGTCACCCCTACAGAAGCGTATTAACCCCTACAGAGGTGTAGAAGCCAATACATTGGTGTAAAATCCCCATACAAAGGTTTAGTTACTCATAAAGAGCTGTAGTCACCCATACAAAGCTGTAGTTGTCGGTGCAAATGTGTAGTCACCCTTGCAGAGGTTCAGGAGCTCATACAGAAATATAGATGCCAATAAAGAGGCAAAGGAACCCAAACATGAGTCCAGTATTCTATACAGAGGCAAAGTCATGCATACAGGAGTAAAGTAGCCAAAGCAGAAATGTAATAGTCCATACATTAGTGCAGTTGTTTGAACAGAGACCTAGTGACTCATACAGAGATGTATAGTTTCTTACAGATGTGTACTTGTCCAAACAGAGGTATAGTAGCTCATACAGGGACATAATAGTCCATAAAGGGTGTAGTTGTCCACACAGAGATATAGTAGCCCATATAGAGATGTACTGTAATAGTCGATATTTGGGTTGTATTTATTCAAACAGCGGTACAGTAGCATATACAGGGACGTAATAGCCCATAAAGAGGTGTAGTTGCCCAAAAGGAAGCCCATTCCTGTATGCAGTCGCTTATAAAGAGGTGGAACCACTCAGGAGATGAGCCCCCCCTGTGTTCATTGCTAAATGCTTTGACTGTACCCTTCAGCCAACTTGGGTGGAATATGTATCTATGGATGTGTCCATCTCATCCTCCTTGTTGATACCCATAAACTGGTAGATGGTCTGGTCTGCCTAATAAATTAGGAAGTAGCTCTGCCCTATCAAAGTCCCCACCAATGTTTACTTGATGGTCCTGTGCTAGAATTTCAATTACCCTTTGTATTTCCCAGGGAAAACTGCCTTTGACATAAGTATACAGTAGTCTACCAATCTCCAAGCTTTATCTGGAAGCTCTGATACCTGGAGGAGCTATGTTCACAGAGAGGTTCATCCTGAGGGTCCTCTCAAGGTAAAGCAGAACTTTACCATCTTCTAGATAGGTGGCTTATGCCATAATGTCCAAGTATGCACATCATGATTGTAGTCTTTGCTGCCACTGCCATCTTCTCCAGCACTTCTTCTGCATCTGGTGCCTTCACTTCAACCAATGGGTGACCACTCATGATGTAACTCCTGTGCATACTCCCTGAAGTTACATCTTCCTGGCACTCTGCTCCATCGTCCGCATCTTACAGATGCCAGGAATCAGCCAAAAATCCAATAATGTACAGTACATTTTATTGCACATCACATGGCAACACAGGCAGTCTATACAAAATAGAAAATTGCTAGGAGCAAAGGGAAAGAGTTACTTGGCAGAAGAGGCATTGTATGTCTGTACCTTGTATTACTTGTTATATTTACAGACACTCTGCTGGGAATCTTCCATGATAAAGCTTAGAGCTAATTTTTGTAACTATACATAAATAGTGAAGTGATGGGGAATTTTTTTTTTTAATTAATTTTCTGTTTCAATTGGCAGGCTTTGCACTAAGGTTAAGGGTATTATCATGGATGATTCCTGGAAGATAATTATCTGTAAGTTTTTAATTTGATTTGTGTGCCCTGACCAAAAGTTTAACACCCTCATATCTCACTTTTCCATATTATCTATACTTCATAATCCTACTCTCCTCTCCCAGAACGAAGGCAACTACGAGAGAATTCTAATAAGAAGCATGCATTGGCCCCAAAGGGATGTTATTACATCTTTTATCTTCTCTGCCTCTGCTAACCTTTCTGTTGCACCGCATCATGTTCTCATTTTAAAATATGAAATACATTTATTTTTTTAACTTCTATTAGAGCCTCAGAAAAACAAATAAAACTAGATAATGTAGGTAAAGAAAACTCTACCCAATCTGTCCTGAAGGATATAGGATCACTTTGCTGCTGAACAGGAGTTGGGCGCTAAGACCTCCTGGGATTAGGAACAGTTATACCATCTCTCCACACCCCCCCCCCCCCCCCCCCCACAGTTGGGGCACAATTCCTTCTACTGATGATGGGGCACTATTTCTCTGCCACACAGACATTCCTTCCACAGACACCAATGATGGGGCATAATTTTGTATTGACACCAATAATATGGCACTATTCCTTCCACAGACACCAATGGTGGGGCACAAATTCCTGGTACTGACACCAATGAAGGGGCACTATTCCTTCCACAGACACCAATAATGGTGCACAGTTCCTTCTACTGATGATGGGGCACTATTCCTTCCACAGACACCAATGATGAATCATAATTTGTATTGACACCAATAATATGGCACTATTCCTTCCACAGAAACCCAATGGTGGGGCGCAATTCCTTGTACTGACACCAATGATAGTGCACTATTTCTTTCACTGTCACCAATGATGGGGCATTATTTCAAAGGTGGGATTGTTTACTCCCCACTGATGCAAGGAAAAGTTTTACTCCCACAGTCCAGCTCCCCCTAAACTCTGAAGGACAGTACGCTGGCCCTTTGCTTGGAAAGTTTGGAGACCCCTGCAGTAGAGCCTCTGAAAGTTAAAGTGTACTTCCAGTTTTTCAGCCAATATTGGATATTTTTTTTTTTTTATTATTTCAGGTACTTCTATAGTACTGTCAATTTATGCAGTGCTTCACATATGTATTTTACATTCACATCAGTCCCTAACCCTCAAGGGGTGCATAATCTAAGGTCCCTAACTCACATTCATACATACACATACTAGGGTCAATTTAGACAGGATCCAATTAACCTACCAGAATGTCTTTGGAGTGTGGGAGAAAACCGGAGTACCCGGAGGAAACCCACGCAGTCGCAGGGAGAACATGCAAACTCTAGGAAGGTGGTGCCATGGTTGGGATTTGAACCAATGACCTTAGTACTGGATATCACTTACTTTATATTTGTTACACATTCCGATTGGCATAACATATTTAAAAATTGCTGGTTACCTTTTTAGGTGCTTTTGAGTTACCTAAAATTCCTTAAAGTGGTTGTAAAGGCTCAAGGATTTTTACCTTCATGCATTCTTTGCATGAAGATAAAAAAAAACTTTCTGTGTGCAGCCAGGGGCGGACTGACCATTTGGAAACTCGGGCACTGCCTGAGGGCCCAGGGTCGTAGGGGGCCCCATGAGATGCCCCTGGTACCTTTTTCATAGACTTTTTTGAGTTTGGGCAAAGACACAGGGGCCCCATGATCCCCTATTGCCCGGGGGCCCCATGAGTTGTCAGTCCGCCCTTGTGTTCAGCATTCCCCCAGCCCCCCTGTAATGCTCTATGTTTGATGGGTTCTATGGCAGGAGTGAATGGTATTATTATAACATGAACAGACCAGGATTTGGACAAATGCTCCCTCTTTGCACTCTGAGAGATCTCAACGTATCTCAATACCGGTATGGCCTGTTTCGGTATCTACAGAACTAAAGTGGATTATGATTTTCTATAGCATTTTATTACATGTGAGCATATCATTTTTTTGTATTCTGTATTGTTTTGGTATCCACAGAACTAAAACTGGTGAAGATCTGTTATAATGTTTCATTACATATGAGCATATCATTTTTTTTTTTTTTTTTTTTGGTATTTTGTATTGTTTCGGTATCCACGGAACTAATGCAGGTGAGGATCTGCCATAACATTTTGTTACATATGAGCATATCCTATTGCTCCAATCACATAAGTTGCAGATGCCATGATATTTTACCATTGTAGCCAACATCTATCAGAAGAGCAGTTAAAGAATCCTAGAGATTCAAGTTCATTTTAAATACAATTATGAAATTGTTTCATGTTGCAATTATATAATTTTTTTTAACAACACTGACATTTATTTGAGGGGTCCCTTTTGCATTTTTGCGGTGTGTCAATGCATCCAATTGAATGAATGGGCTGCCAACTCACCCTGACGTGCCGAATATCAGACCTTTTTACTGTATTACTGCGTTGCTGCGCGTTGGGGTGCCATTCAAAGTAAATGGCACCACCGTAAAAGTAATGTGTGTTGCCGCGCATTACTGCGATGCAAAGGTGTAAATGGGCCCTTAGGCATTTGGGCAGAGAGCAGTCATTTCAGTCTTTATGGGGATTATTCACTATAACTGGGGAGTGCAAAATCTGGTGCAGCTCTGCATAGAAACCAATCTACTTCCAGATTTTATTGCCAAAGCATAGAATCCATTCACACTTGTGCAACTTCCCATGCGACTTTGGACCCCCAGTCGCACTCCATGTTTCCCAGTGAGCACCATTCAATTCTGTGTGACTTCAAGTCACAGCGACTTGAAAGTAGTTCCTGCACTATGGTACGACTTTTGATGTGACTTTAGTCCAGTGAATGTAAAGTCTGGTCAAAGTTGCACCAAAAGTCGGATCAAAGTCACACTGGTAATCGCTCAACTTTGGAGATACACTAATGTGAATGGAACGTTAACTGAACAAGCTGAAGTTAGAAGCTGATTGGCTCCCATGCACAGCGGCACCAGATTCTGAGTGCTCCCATTTTTAGTAAATCTCCCCCTTTGTGTCAACATGATCTTATTAGGGAATGGAAGTTCAGCTTCTAAGCCACCAATCAGCATCAGTCCAGCTCTAAAGGTTTGATTCTGATTGGTGGGGAAATCTTAATAAGAAGACATTGATACTTAAAGTGTTACTAAACCCCGGACCCTGCATTCACTATATCTGCTCTCCCCCCTGACCCTGCATTCACTATATCTGTTCTCCCGGACCCTGCATTCATTATATCTGCTCTCCCCGGACCCTGCATTCACTATATCTGCTCTTCCTGGACCCTGCATTCACTATATCTGCTCTTCCTGGACCCTGCATTCATTATATCTGCTCTCCCCAGACCCTACATTTGCTGCATATATATCTGGTCTCCCCGGACCCTGCATTCACTATATCCGGTCTCCCTGGACCCTGCATTCACTATATCTGATCTCCCCGGACCCCGCATTCTCTATATCCGGTCTCCCCCGAACCCTGCATTCACTATATCTGGTCTCCCAGGACCCTGCATTCACTATATCTGGTCTCCCCCGGACCCTGCATTCACTATATCTAGGTCCCCCCGGACCCCTGCCATTCTCATCTCCCCGGACCCTGCATTCACTATATCTGGTCTCCCCGGACCCTGCATTCACTATATCTGGTCTCCCAGGACCCTGCATTCACTATATCTGGTCTCCCCGGACCCTGCATTCACTATATCTGGTCTCCCGCAGTACACACAACATGGAAATTATTTTAGTAAATATAAACTGCTAAATACTCTTTTCTATCAGCAGTTGGAGAAGTATAGTGACTTCTATCAGTGTCCAGCAGAGCACTGGTTACAGCTTGTAGGAGGAGTTTTCTTTCTGCACTAGGACAATCCTGGTGAAAATCCTGACCCTCTGGACACTGCTGATTGGCCCTGTGCTGATCACATGCACTTGATTCAGTCTGTATCAGGTGGTCATTTCAACAAGAGGAGGGGCAGAGACGACAGGATCAAACAGCCTTTTTTACACAATGCAGAGGATTAACCCCTTAGGTTCCACAGTGAGTATAACAAGCATGCTTTACTGCATATACAGACTGATTGTACTGTTGTGGGTTTAGTAACACTTTAAGGCCTTTCCTGTCTACCTCCACTTATTCCGTGCAATGGATATGTAGCTGTATTCCTTCAATGTACAAATATTCAACAATGGTGACAATAAAGAAATGTTTTGTTGTATTTGCGGTCTCATATTTCTGTTTGCTCATTCCGAAGCTCATAGGCGACACACATGCAGGAGACCAAATTGGATACATAATCAGTATTCCGCGCACTGAATGGCAGCGCCCCCTGTAGGCAGTGCTAGGGTAAGGTTATTTAGCACCCAAGGCAAAAAGGCCGTAGTTCATCCCCCTTTCCCAAGAGCTGTGAACTACTTCAGGTTACAGGTCCTGCCCGATTTGCACCCCCTTCCTACTGAAGACTAAAAGCAGCGCCCCATTTTGCCCCTCGGTCCAGTCCACTCCATAATCCCTGGCTCTCTAGATTTGTGTGCCATGGATTGGCTGTTAGTCCCGGATTGGGAAAATGTATCCATCGCTGTTTATTTATTTATTTCAGGTACTTATATAGCGCCATCAATTTACACAGAGCTTTAAATATATATTGTACATTCACATCAGTCCCTAACCCTCAAGGGTGTACAATCTAAGGTCCTTAACTTGCATTCATACATACACATACTAGGGACAATTTAGACAGGAGCCAATTAACCTACCAGCATGTCTTTTGGAGTGTGGGAGGAAACCGGAGTACCCGGAGGAAACCCACACAGGCACAGGGAGAACATGCAAACTCCAGGCAGGTAGTGCCCAGACTTTAGTATAAGTCCCTCTTTTAGGCTTCATTCACACCAATGTATTTAAGTGCTTTTTGCAGAAACGCACTACAATCGATTTAATATGGTTTCCTATGGAACATGTCCACTTTCCGTGTTTTTTTGGAAAGGGTCAGGGACTTTTTTAAAATAAAAAAGCAGCGTTTTTGCTATAATAAAGTTTAATAACGAATCTTCTGAAATGCATAGTAGTGCATTTTTGCTGCATTTTAAGTTTTTTGCATTTTTATTCTGCACAGCAAAAAAAAAATTCAACTTGAAATTAAAAAAAAAAGCTGAACAAAGCGCAGTAAAAACACATCAAAACCGCGTGTAGAAAAACACAAAACGAAGTGCGAAAAGTACTGCAAAACGGACAAAAAGTAAACTGAATCGGTGTGAATGGAGCCTCATACCATACTATTGCTGCAGTTATAATTAAAAACATAAGTGGACCTGTCAGTAACCTTTATAACCTAACGTCACAACGTACAGCAACAGGATCATTTACCATCAAAGCTATAAAAAGCCATCGTTGAGCTCCAGGCAGTGACTTTGCCTAGGCTGAGATGATGTCATCGGTCTGCTGCAGGGAGAAGGAAGCCTTTCCTCAGTCTCCTCTTTTTTCAATAATCAGACTGCAAGTCACAAGGTGAGAGGCTGATCTGTGTCAGGCAACAGGATTTACATGACAGCGCCATCTCTGAAAAGGAAGTCGATGGGATGCCTGAACAAAGATGGGACCGTCCTTCTGGAGAGAAAAGCAGATGAAAGCATTGTCAGGGGAAGTACTGTGATCTCTGTGAGAGGCAATAGACACATAAAAGGGTTACACTGACATATTGCTCAGCATTCCACACTTGATGATTATTTGCTAGCACTCTGTTTTACTGGAGCTGCCATTAGACAGTACAATCCATCTGTGAATCTGCTTGACAGTGTGTTGCCAGAGCTGTAGAGAGTCTTGTGACCCATGTTAGCAGCCTCAACACCCAGCCCCTCCATTAGCTCTGCTGCTAAAAATAAAGCTGCTTATATTTTGCCTCCCATGGTTCCGCTCTCCCTTCTCATCAATATGCTAATGTCAGAATAGGGCTCTCAGCTTTAATTTATTGGATTTCAGTTCTTTCAATATTTGAGGCTCAGCATCTCATGTGGACGATACCTAGGGCGGTCTGTATGCAACTGTATCCTGCCTAGGAACGCCCACTCCTCCAGACTGACACCCATCCATCAAGGCATTTTGATAATTGCATAACCCCTCCCAAGAGCAAGCCCGCTGCTTTCATTGAGCAGCATGGTGTGATGACTCCTCCCACCAACCATGATCTACCAGCATTGCATAGAGACGCAAAATAGACCCAGTGATGACATCAAGGTATGTAGTAAAAACAGGTCTTATTTAATATTTTTTTACTAGCATTTTAATGAGTGAGGAAGCTAAAGGAAGAAACAGGAAACGAAAATTAGCAGTAGATTAAATGTCAGCTTCAATTGTTCTACTGTTTATTCCTGCCAATGTTCTCCTCCAGACTGACACCCATCCATCAAGGCATTTTGATATTTACATAACCCCTCCCAAGAGCCAGCCCACTGTTTTCATCGAGCAGAATGGTGTGATGACCCCCCCTCCCCCCAACAACCATGATCTGCCAGCATTGCATAGATACACACAGAGACCCATTGATAACATCACTTGGTCTAAAACAAGGTAAGCCGTAAAAACAAGTATTATTTAATATTTTTTTTATTGGCATTTTAATAAGAGAGGAGGGTAAAGGAAGAAATAGGAAAGGCAAAATATTATCAGAATAAACATCAGCTTCAATTGTTCTCCTGTTTTATTCCTGCCAATGTTTTCCATTCTGTGACATCACACTAACCCCGTCCTCGGCGTCCCGGAGCTGTCACAGTTACACCGCAAAGACAGGCTTTGTTCCAGCATGCCTAATAGTAAATATACAGAATAAATACTGTGTTTGAGAAAGCCCAATTAATTCACATACCGTATCAGTGATGACATTGATGTGGACTTATACAATTGTGCTAGAGGTATAAAACTGAGCAATATACAAATATATCACAGAATGCATAGCAGCAAATAAAAAAGTGTGTGCATGCGTGCGTGTGCGCGTGTGTATACACACACACAAAAAATTAAAGGAATACTTCTTAATCAGATTATAGCATCAAGTCAATGAATCTCCTGGGATATTGATCTGGTCAGTTATTAAGTATGCACAGTGCCTTGAAAAAGTATTCCTACCTCTTGAAATTTTCCACATTTTGTCATCTTACAACCAAAAACATAAATGTATTTTATTGGGATTTTATGTGATAGACCAACACAAAGTGGCACATAAGTGTGAAGTGGAAGAAAAATGTACTGTAAAGGGTCACTCCACCCAGAGTTAAACCAAATGACAGTGGAGTTTCTTGCTCCAAATTATTATTCCGGGGACAGCCAGGTAGATAGGCATTTCCTAGCCGGGGTCTGAGGAGAAGTCACTTGGAGGGGACCAGGCGCTCCTCACACAGACTGCACTATTGATTCATTAAGAGACTGTGCCACTCCGGCTGGAGTAGAACGTTCAGGATCTACCTTTTTGTACATAGTCAGGAAGTTCATCTTCACATGTCTTGGAAATTCGCTTTTAACGAATTTCTCCTTACCGTGAGTACTCGCAGTTGAATGCGCTGAAATCCCCCATAAAGCTGTGCGAATCTCGTTTTACCACGACTGCAGCTAAACTACACGATTCCTGCCCCTCCAACTGCTTTAGCTCTGTTGAGATGTGAGGAAATGGAGCTCCCTATACCCCGGAATGACCACACGACACTCTCAGGTTGCTGTTGAAATTCACATAGAGGAAGTTTTCATTCTCAGCCTCTGGTTTTATTACAAACACACACATGCCCCCCACATGAATAAGGTCAATCCCCTCCCACAGAACAATGCAATGGGGAGTGCCTATACACAGGATGTACATTCCGATTGGAGCGTAGCCTTTCCTATTATCTATCACTGGTCCTCCCCCATGAGCCCTCTGAGGTCAGCAGGCTTCCTCCCCTCCCCCCATGAGCCCTCTATGGAGAGCATACTTCCTGTCCTAGCTCCTAGTGGTCTGTAAATTCTCTGTACAAGCATCCCTTAGGTTGAACAGTGTCTGTATCTGAATAGGCCCGATACGATCTTTATTAAAACACATCCATCCAGATACAGTTTCAGGTCGGTAATGGTTTGTAAGATACGCATAAGCCTACACGCGGAGTTTGTACTGCTTGGCGCCTTGCGGTACAGAGTCCATGTGGTACTATGCTGCTGATATGTGGATACAGGCCCGCGGCCTAACGCTGGCGGCATTCGCATCGAATGCCGTGGTGGTATACACGCCGGTCTATAAGCGCAGATCTGCCATCTCATCCATTACCGAGCTGAGTACTGTAATATATACATTGTACATGCGCATGGCCCAATTGCAGCCTTCAGAGCTTTAATTAAGCCACACGAGAGACACACAGTTATTACTGCAAGTCAAGCTGGGCATCCCATGTACCCCTAAACCCTACCCAAGTCGTTTGTCCCCCTAAATAAAACAAAAACAAGCTCTTCGACTGATTACTGACTCTGAGTGGACGTCTGAAAATGCGTGTTGCCTGATTGTACAGGAGATAGGGGGACCCGATAATCTGCGCTACGGACATTTAAGCCATAATGACATCATCAATAGAATATACAGTGAAGGAAATAATGAAAATCAGTCATCATTCGTTAGACACGCATTTCTTTTGAATTTTTTGTTGCTATTCTGTCTCTCAGTGTTACAATACACCTACCATTCGATTTTTAGACTGATCAATT